GAAGAAGGCGAGAGTTCTACGCCAAAATCCTTTCCTCACCCCCCCACCCGAGTACGTGGGGAAGCAATTTTAGTACAAGGCAGTCGTTTTTACTAAGGGTAAGGAAATAAAATTTTACATATGGGGTTTTTTTTCCCTGGGAAGGCAAATGAAAGATGTAACTGGCCATTACTACATCAGTGAGGAAAACGCTCAAAAACCAGCATTTCGTTCAGTGGTTTATTTTCTCTAGCACACGGCAATACAATAATAGCTACAGCAACCATACATGCACCAAAAAAGTTTTTTAAATAAAAACACATTTCATTAAAACATCTTTTTGTTTCTTGCTTGTGGCAAACAGAATAACCCGGTTTCCCCCCCCCAAGTTTTAATTATGCTGGTCTCACTAAAGGCCGCAGGAGAGCCATCAATACCATTTTAACCTTGAATGTATTTTATATAAACATAATTGAGCTGCGTTCCCACAACACGTTTGGCATCGCTCCGGGGGCCCTGGCCACAAAGGAGCAGAGAAACCCTACCGGCACCTGACCCCCACAGGCCGGGCAGGTGAGAATTTCCACACCTCTGTTTTGACTCTCGCTGCACATAGTAACTACACATGACACCTTTTCTGTACAAATACAGGCCAAAACCATTAAAAGAACGTTACACCCGCCCCCCCACTTTGATTCCAGCATTGTTTGCCTATTCTGTTTACCCGCATCTAGCGCAGGCACTGAATAAGGCAGCTGTAACGGCATATAAAATTAAGGTCTGTACCATAATTAAGGTACAGACTGATACACAAAACAGACGCTTCCATTTATCAGCCGGAATAGCCAGGCACGTTACAAACTGCTGCAGAAAAATACATGCATAAAAATAAAGAGCTGCTGAGAGGCTCTGCCCTATCAGTTTACCAAACCGTGAGTATTTTCAACACGAGCACATCGCAACAGATGCAGATTCTACTTTATAAGGCTGACAAAGAAAAAAACCCAAAACTTTTGTCATCTTGCTAGTACAAACCTACAGCAGGTTTCAGTCTATAGTCTTCTCAATTACTAGCTTGGACAGTAATTGAGTAATTTGGACCTCTCTCCATCAAAGATTAAAGAGCACTGAATGGGTGGGATATGCTTGTGTCTAGCTTATCAAGCCACTTCTGCCCACATGCTCTAAAGGCAATTTATTTTTCACATTGTTACATTAGCAATGTGTTTTGATATGCAGATATTTTGATGTCAGCTGACTACATCGAAAGCCAGCCAAGAACCCCCTGGAAACACTGACTGACATTTGGAGATTTATCTCCATCATTTAGTCACTGATCTTAAAATCTCTTGGGCAACACTAGGCTACATGCCTGCTTCCTGTAGTATGTCCTGCACATGGACAAGAGAAGTCTAGCTGAAGTAGCAGCTATTAAGGTTGTAGGCTAACAGAAAACACTAGTAAAAAATGCAAAGTGAACTGAGCTCATCCAAGTCTGAAATACCTCATGACCAAAGAGCAGGAACATGCCCGATTTCTCTAACAGCTGAGGGTGTGGGACAGAAGGCAAAAGACCCATGGGCTAAAGCACGCTGAATTTATGGTGGTTTACCAGACCACCCAAGGCCCTACAAAACCCACTAGGATGCGGTGAGGTTGCATCTCAGACACCGCATTTCAGCAGAACAGAGCTGTGATGAGAGGTTTGGAGGGAAGGAAGGGAGAAGTCTTACTGATGTTTTTACCCAGAGACGCATCTTGCTCGTGAGGAGCAGTACAGGAGCACAAACTGAGGCACATCAGCTCTGTTGGTGACCAGCACCATTACCCTAGCAAAGGCAAGACTCATTTAGACAGGTCAGGGTCAAATCAGACCACTGCAAAGGGTGACACATTTGACTGCAATAAAGAGACATGAGGAAGATACCTCCAGAGGAAAAATAGCCACTTTTTGAGAGATCTGGAATGAGGTGGGACTGCCAAGACAGAAGGTCAGTATAGGAAAATGCAGTAGTCAAGGCATGAAAAATTCTGTCTTGACAGATGCTTCTAGTCGAAGTCCAGAGGCTTAATCAAAATGCAGTAGCATAGAATAAAAGACACACAAAATGTAAAGTGCTTGATGAAGGGAGGGAATGCACCTGTATTTTGTCAGTGTTCCTGTTAGAGATAAAGCTACTCTGGTGCTGGGCTTTCTAGTGATGGAAAGTTAAGTTGGGGGCGAGGAAAATGAGTGCTTCCAAGAGAGCAGCCTGTTCTTCTCTCCAAACAACTGCTCACCAAGCAAAGAGATACCAGCTGCATGTATGAACCTGTGTAAGACCCCACCACAGCTTAGTGCTCCCCTCAGGACGCAGTAGCAGAGCTGAAGGAAGTATGCCTTCCTCTACCCCGACTTCAAAGGAGGCAAGGAAGAGGATTTCATCACTGTGGGCAGAAGATTAAATCTCAATCTTCTTAACCTGAGGAAAGACTGAAGGAGGAAGAGCAGCTAATATTCCACTGGCTGCAGAA